GGTTTGTGATGAACGTCTTCGCGGCCAGACGCTCCCATCAGCGGACACAGCCAGGGCTCGCAGACCCTCCCGGGGGGCTTGCCAGTGCTCCAGGCGTCTGTGCACAGGCAGGATCTCAGGGTGGAGATTCCACCCCCGTCTTTGGAACTGTAAATGTGTTGTTCCGTGCAGCTGGCTCTGTGGTTCGCTCTCTTCACTTACCGCTCTATCTGGGAGATGAGAACAGCGGGGCTGGGTGTATTCTGTAGGGAAGCAGGCTGTGTGGACGTTCGGAATTTGTGTAACCTCTTCCTGCTGACGAGCATCTGTCTCCAGGCTCTGCTTTGAAAGCACCAGGGAGATGAAAGTCCCCACACACTGACTGTTTAGCACAGATACTAGCAGGTCTGCAGCACAAATGCCCAGAAGCGGAATTGCCGGGGAGGAACTTGTGTTTGTAGTTGAGAGAAGTATTGTCAAAATGCCACCCCTCCTCCCCAAGAGGCACTGACTTTCTCCTGGCTTCTGAGAACTGCCCCGCAGGCATGGACTCAGGCAGAAGCCTGAGCTGGGCCTGCAGCGGGGGTCACAGCTGAGATGGGGGGCGGGTTTAGGCTGAGCCCTGCAGGAGGGAGTAGGGTCCACCCTGTGCTTTTCACAGCCTGCTGAGGGTTCGAGAGATCGCTGGGGCCTCCTGCCCCCTTTATGTGAAGAATCGAGGCCCCAGAGGGGCTCTGCCTCGGCTGGGGGGAGTCCCCACAGGTTGTCGGGATGTGGTCAGTGGCAAAGGCTTTTGAACCTAAAATGCCCCTACCCGGTCCTGCTCTGCTTCCCCCTCTGTCAGGTCTACAGCACACACCCCAGGATGCAGGGAACACCCCCAGAGTAAGCACAGGAAGGGCCTCTGTGCCCAGTGGCCAGGCCGAGTCGGGACCAGGGACCGTGTAATTTCCCACTGGACTGTGGTGCTGGGAGCCAGCCTGTTCCGGGCCGTGCTCCCAGGAGCCAGCCCGCCGCGCTTCTGCAGGCTCTCACTGGAAGAGCCACCACCCCTGGGGCCAGAGGCCCACGAGGCGGCCAGTCCACAAACAAAGCAGCACAAGGGCTTCCTTCTCCTGGTCCCGGCACAGCCCTCTGAGAGGCCCAGACCCGCCCCTGAGCCTTGGCCAGCAGTCTCATTCCTCGCCGGTCTGTGGGCATCACTGGGGAGCATTGGTGCCACAACGCTGGAGCCTGGCCTGCCTGCCAGACCATCCCTTTCTCCCCGCAAAGAGCTGCTGGACCATCAGACCTCTTCCTGCTCGTGGTCGCCACTCTCCTTCCTCCCTCCTCTACCCCAGCCCCAACCCCAGGTGGGCTTTGCTTCCCAAGGCCTTTGGGGGAAAACTGTTTTTCAAGAGTTTGGAATTTTGCTATTCGAGGTCTTTCATGTTGTACGTCTGGAGACCTTCAGAACCGTGGTGACAGCCTTCACCTCCTGCTTGCACCTAGCGCTGCCTCCCAGATCAGCCTAGGGCCCTGGCGCAGGGATTCCCACTTGGCGTGGCTCTGTGGGATAAGGGCTCCCTCGAAAATGACATTCCTTTAACTGGTTACTTCCAGCACTCCCGCCTGGGAGAGATGAGGGGGAAGATTCCAACTGAGCTGAGCCTTGGGCCAACCCTGCTCCCTTCTCTCCCCCTTGCTTTAACCAAGCACCTTCCCCTTGCCGAGGATGGCTCAAGGCACATGATGGGTTTTTAGAGGGGGGACAGACTTACATACGTTACTTTTGGCTTCAGTGTGAAGCAGATTGTTGTGAACCGGTAGCGCACGGGGCAGATGAAATCGCTGAGTTCGGGGGAGGGAGGCTTACGGGGCAGTTGAGTCATGAGGAAGGAGAGGGAATGCACTGACACCTGAGGAATAGGAGGCCGCTCTGGGGAGCGAGGAGGGGAGGGGAAGAGGGAACACGCGTGTGCCAGGGACGACGAGGAGAGGAGTCTGGAAGAGGCACAGAGCAGCATGGAGAAGGAGAGCCAGGCTCGTGGCCTGGAGGCCGAGCAGTCTCTGTCGAGGTCAGAAGGAGCAATACGGTGGCCTTTGGGCTGTGTCTACTGACACCTTTGCTTTGACTTGCATGATTTAATATTTGTAAATAACCAATCTAAAATTAAAAAGTTATGTAGTTACCCATCAATGAGAGAGACAAGACACACATCCAGAGACTGCCTCTCTTGGAAAAAACAAATCAGCATCAGGCAACATGACTGTGTTCGTTCCCTGGGTCCGCCATGACAAACCAGGAGTGGCATGAAACAACAGTTTATTCTGTCACAGTTACAGAGGCTGGAAGCCTGAAACCAAGGCGTTAGCAGGGCCCTGCTCCCTCTGAGTTTCTGGATAGAATCCTTCCTCATCTTCCCCCCGCCTTTTCCCACTTTTATTGAGAAATCATTGATACACATCGCTGTGTGAGTTTAGGGCGGGCAGCGTGATGCTTTGGTTTGCATGCACTGAAAGGTGATGATCACAGAGGTTCAGCTAACACCTGTCATCTCTGTAGAAACAAGAAAAAGAAGAAAAGGAAAAGAACTCTTCTTACAATGAGAACTCAGGAGTTACTCTCTTAACAACTTCCCTGCATATTGTACAGCAGTGTTAACTATAGCCATCGTGTTGTTCATGACATCCCTGGTACTTATGTATCTTCTAACTGGAAATTTGTGCTTTTGACCACCTCCCTTCAGTCTTCTAGCTTCTGATGCTTGCCAGCAGAGCTTGGCATTTCTTGGCTCATAGATACATCGTTCCAGTCTCTGCTTCCGTTATCACGTGGCCTTCTCCTCTGTGTATGTCTGTCTGTGTCTCCTCCTCTTATAAAGACAGTAGTCACATGGGGTTAAGCGCCCAGCCCTTCTTAGCTTGATCCCATCTGCAAAGACCTTATTTCCAAATAAGTTTCCATTCATAGGTGCTAGGGGTTAGGACTTTAACGTGTCTCTTTAGGAGACACAGTTCTGCCCTTGACAATTACCTGATGGTGTCATCAGCTAGGTACGAGTGACGACCACCCACCGGCGACAGGGCCCCGGGATTGCACAGACCCGGGCGGAGTGGGCAGGCTCCCACTGCTGGCAGATTCATGTCCCCAGCCTCCTGGAAACTCTTTGGCCTCCACTCCCCATCTGCCTCCTTCTGGTTCCCATCCACCTAAGTCTTCACTCTGCAAGGCCCCTTCCTCCCCGAAGCTTCCTGCATCCCTCAGCCCCACGTGACTCCTCACTCCTGCAAACCCACCGTGGTGACGTTACGTAGAACATTTTGACAATAATAGCCTCTTGTCTTGGTGTCTGTTGTCATGTGACTTTTGCAACACTGACCTTGAGCTCTGCTGGACACTCTGTGCACTTTCTTATGTCTCATCTCGAGTAACTCAGGTTCCACTCCGTGTGCTCTCGGCACCGTGCTTTGTAGGGGAGGAGAGGAGATCAAACGGGATCTGACTAAATGGAGGAAAACAGCGTCTGATGTGTGTGCGTAAGAAGTCTTCCCCCTGCCCCCCCCCGACAACTTCTGAATTGCGGGAGGCCCCTCATAGCAAGGGGCTCCACCCACGGCTCACGTTGGATGATGAGGGCATTTTTGGACACAGCTGATTCTAAGGGATTAGAAGTAGTTTTATAAAAGCTTGTCCCAGAATTGAATCACTTCGAGTCTTGCCAGGTGGGCTTTTTGGCACCTGCAGACAGAAGTGCCTTTCTCTTCCTCCCTCCGTCTCAGCCAGACTTCTAACAGCGCTTGTGGTTTCCTCCTCGACTCCAGGCCTGTCTTCCTCTCCGTCGACACCCACCCAAGTGGCCAAGCAGCACACGTTTCCCCTCGAGTCCTACAAGCATGAGCCTGAGAGACTGGAAAATCGCATCTATGCCTCCTCTTCCCCTCCGGACACAGGCCAGAGGTTCTGCCCGTCCTCCTTCCAGAGTTCAGCCAGGCCTCCGCCAGCCTCGCCCACACACCTCGCTCCCTCCAGATCCGTAAGTCCGGGCCTTCCCCTGGGGGCCGGCCGCCGGGCGTTGGGGGGACAGCAGTCTGCTTGAATTCAGCTGATGCTAAGGCCATGCCCTCCGGACGCTTTTGGTATATTTTATCATAAATCACAAACTGAGCAGAAAGTGGTGAGGGCACCGTGAGCAAAATCAAGTGATAACTGCTAACATCTGGAGCACGGCCCGGAAAGCTTTTGCTTCCTCAGCTTCTTTTTAAAAATCATGAGAAGCTTTATTTGAGTTTATCTTGTTTGGGATACTAATGTAAAAAGCATAGGCAAAGAAAAGGAATGGATTTTTTATGGACATTTTATTCTAGATTTTTAAGATTTGACATCATTTGACTTGGGAAGCATTCTGGAAAGGTGAGCCTTTCAAAGTAGAAACGGATGGTGACACAGGGGTCTCTGGTCCTTCAGAGGACTGGGATTGATGAAGATGGATGGAGGAGGCTGGTTTAGCACCAGCACATAAGCATCCTCTGAGTGCAGTGGGCTCTGTGTCACCGCCTGCCTGGTTCAGGTCAGTACTACACATACCTCAGTATTACTCCTGTGCTCAGCAAGGATGTAAGAGCCATATCACTAAAGTCTACCCTTGTGCATGTAACTGTTTTATTCAGTGGCAGTACTAGTTCCGTGGGGCTGCTGTAACAAACTGGGGGGCTTAAAAACAACAGGACGCCCTTATCTCAAGGCTCTGGAGGCTGGAAGTTTGACATTAGGGTTTTGGCCAGACCATGTTCCCTCCGAAGTCTCCTTCCTTGCCTCTCCCAGCTTCTGGTAGCCCCAGGCTTTTCTTGGTCTGTGGCAGCTTCCCTCCAATCTCTGCCTCCATCTTCAGCTGGTTGTCTTCCTCTGTACGTGTCCAAATTTTCCACTTCTTAGAAGAACACCAGTCATACAGGATTAGGGCCCAACCAAACCTAGTACAACCTCATCTTAGCTTGATTCCATCTGCAAAGATCTGATTTCCAAATAAGGTCACTTTCACAGGTCTCAGTGGTTCGGACCTCAACATAGCTTTTGCAGGGGACACTATCCAACCAGAGCAATTCCTGTCTTTGGGGAGAAAGAAGATGTTTGTCATGCAGCGAATGTACTGTGACAATCCTCCCTCTTCATCCGATGATGATTTTGTTGGCTGTCGGCTTAGCGGGTGTTGTTTTAAGTGCTGAAGGGTAAAATGCAAGGTATTGCTCCACCTTCTAGGGCTTACAGTCTCTCTGGGAACAGAATAATACTCAGATAAAACAGTTAAATGAAAGCAGAAAGTAGATTGGGTGGGGTTCGGGAGTGAAACAAACAGTCGGCACTACAGGGGGTAGAAAGGGGGAAACACTGCAGTCTGATAAGGGCAAGGAAGCCTTGCGGGATTGGTAGGGCTTCAGTAAGGGGAGAGGTGGGTGGGGGGCCTTCTGGAAGAGAAAATTGGCCAGGACTGGGGTGGGAAGGAGTGTGACGCGTACATGGGGAAGGAAGAGTACGCGGTGGGCATTTGTCTCTGGGGGGGGGGGGGAACCTGGCAGCAGACTCTGAGATGGACTCCAGGCAGGAGGACCACTAAGAGGCAGTGAGTAGACAAGACGTGGAGCCGTCCCTGGGCCTGGAAGGAAGGTCACCCGTGTTCTTGGGTGTGAATGAGAAAAGATCTAGAGATTTCTGTTCTCCTGGGCATTTAACGAAGATACTTGGTCATAGAGATAATGGAACCAAAAAAAAAAATTCAAAAAAGAAATGATGAGGCCACCTGAAGATTATCAAAAGCGGGAGGCCACTCCTTCCCTAGGGCTGGAGGGGCGTGTGGGGAGGCAGGGATACGGGAGCCCATCAGAGGGGAGGTGGAACCACGCATGTCTGCTGGGCTGGAGCCGCTGGCCAGAGATGCCATTGGAGGCAGAGGAATGGAAATCCTGGTTTCGGCCTCTCCCCGCCCTCCAGCCTCCTGCCAGACCTGCCGAGGGGCCAGCAGGCCGGGAGATCTGGGACCCACAGACCCTGTGGGAGCAGGGAGAGGACTGAGGAGGGGAGCAATGAGGGAGGTTCCCAGCAGAGAGGCTTGGATGGATCAGGTCTTCTCATGGACTAGGGATGACTGGCAGAGTAACCCCATTTCAGAAGAGACACTGATGTGAAGAGAAAATAGTTATTTTAACTTTAGACCATTTGAAGTGAGACACAGATGCAGGGTTTTCCATGATCACAGAAGTTCTGTGCTCAGGACAAGCTTGTAGCCTTTCCCAGTTTAAATGAGAGAGATGTTCTAGGTCCACTTTCAGCTTTTCCCCAGTTGCGACTAGAAAGTGGTGTTCTTCCCTGTTTATACCACACAACTATGAGCTCTTGTCCAGGACAGCAAGCCTGGGTCCTTCCAGGCTCTCGGAGGTGGTTCTGGGGCCAGAGAGGAAATGTTCTTGGCTGTACCCCATCCTCAGCAGTGGGCCCAGACCCCGCACCCTGGTCAGAGCCTGTGACTCCACATGCACAACTGAGTGAAATTTTAACAACAATCCAGATGTCATGAGTGGATAGACATGAGGTAGTCTTTCCACGCTATGGAATATTATTCAGCCTTAAAAAGGAAGGAAATCCTGACAGATGCTACAACATGAATGAACCTTGAGGATGTTCTGCTCAGTGAAATAACCCGGTCACCAAAGGACAAATGCTGTATGAGTCCACTTACATGAGGTCCCTAGAGCTATCAGCTGCATAGAAACAAAAACCAGGGGCTGGATGGGGAGGAACAGGAAGTCAGTGCTTAAACGAGGACAGGGCTTCAGTTTGGGAAGATGAAAAAAATTCTGGAGATGATGGTGGTGATGGTTGCACAAAAAAAATGAATGTACTTAATACCGCTGAATTGTACTCTTAAAAATGATTTAAATGACCCATTTTATGTATATTTTACCACATTTTAAAAAATGATCCAGCTGACACTACAGTGTTTATATAGTTTGAGCTTCAGAAAATCAGAGTGCTCACTGGAGGCTCCCCACTTACATTTGGAAATATGTTTCAAAATTGGGAGACGGCGTCCCCACAGGCTGCGGACATTAAACCAGGCTTTAATCCCTCGTGTGAGTTTTATCCCCCAAGGCCTCCAGGGGCTGCCTTAGAGGGTGTTCCAGCCTGTGCAGCTGTAGTCTGGCCCAGGTCTCTTCTGTTTCCAGCAGCCCTTGGCAGCAGGGCGTGGTGGTAGCTTCAAGTTCATATAAAGTGTTCCTTTATGATTGGATTCCACTGAATGTCTTTATGTGCTAAGGTCCTTAAGAGCTTGGCCGATTTCATTCATCTGGTCACCAGCATAATCTTCACAGAGGAATGTGGGTTGCTTAAAGGCTTCCATCAGCCTGAAAGTATTTAGATATAATTTATCTCTGCCTTTTGGAATAAAACGACATTCTCTGTAAACACTCACCGTGGAGATCACTTT